CATACCTCAGCTCCATGCCCCAACTCATAGTTGGGGACAAAACCATCTCACATCCTCTGTGAAAAGCCTGCTCAGTGGGACCTCCTGGAGTTACTGGCATTTAAGCTCCTTCTTCTTGTTTCTCCTCATGCAAAAGAGCAGGAGGGCAGGAGAACTAACCATCCTCTTTTCCCACCATGAGAGGCACTCAGCCTCACTGATTCAATGCAGTAGCCATACCTCATCTGCAACATGGTCAATTCCACAGCTGCATCCAACAAACACGAGTCCTGCCACCACTCTCCTCCTGTGCAACCAGGGACTCCTGGCAGACTTCTCACCCACCAGGAAGAGGCTAAAAGAGGAAAATCTATACAGACTGTCCTTCCAAGCAGGTCGCACATCTGAATTCTCAGCTGTTACAGGGTTTATGATTAACAGGCATGCCACAGTGAGCACTAAGGTCTCTGTAACCCCGTGCTGAAGTGCAGGAGAAGTGGACTTGTGTTTGAAAAGAAAGGCCACTGAGTTCAGAGAAATACAGGTGATCCAGATCATGTAGTGGCTTTTGTTCTGGTATTTTTTTCCTGCTTTTTGAAAGAGATTGAACATCATGATATTTCTAGCTCTGCAGTGATGAGTAGGTAGGCTCCACAATTTACACAGAAGCAATGCTACCCTGCCATTTGCATCCAGAACGGAAATATGGTGAAAAAGCATGGTTTTGTCTGCTGTATATTACCAGAGGAAAGGTTCAAGGAGAATTTGTCCCCAGACATTTTCCTGCAACTCTGAGACAGTGATTACCAAAGCCCACGTTTTCTCACTAGCAGAAGTCAAATGAAATCCAAATGACTTGCAGAGAATAAACCTCTAGACCAAAAAAAGAACAAGTTCCACATCTCGGACTTGAGCACATTTTAAAAGCTTTCAAATGGCTAACCACCAGCTAGTTACTTCACGCTCCTCTAATTCAGCCCAAATGCCAAAAGAGCCTTTACCTTAAGCACCCAGGCCTTTGCTCCCCAGAATACGCACGCACATTCAGATAGAACATACTTATCTAGGAATCACCACAGAGAGTCAAGACCTCATGTCAGACCTGCAAAAAATCAAAGTGATTTCATGGCTGAAGAACTGGAAATACAGATATAGCCACAGAGAATAAATCTGCTTCCTGAAATGATTGCAGTACAAAATTATCACTTCTTATTAGAGACATAAAGTATGTTAACACCTGATGCTGCTCAGGAAATTAACGCAAACTCAGACTGATTCTGCAGAGCAGTGGACTCAATAGTTCAAAACTAAGATTGCCAAATTGCTTCTCCTAAGACATTGTCAGAGACTCTGGGAACTCCAAGTACATCGACTTACTTAAGTAGTTACTCTGAGTAACTACTTAACACAGGTCAGACAGAACCTTTATTAACTATGGTCATGGTGACAGAATACTGGGACAGCATTTCTCCCTCTGCATCCCTGCCAAGTGATTGCAGAGACACAAGCTATAGACCGTTTCAGGGAAGAAAAAAAAACCAAAACATTTCAGTAATAACAAAGCCAGGTATCCATCCCTGAGAGGGATGAGCTCCTCAAGTAGCTTGCTAACCACAATTCAAATAAGGAATGAAACAGTAAGTAACATCACAATGTGGGGAGATGCTCTTGGTGGAGTGACACACCCAAGTATTTCCCTAGCTCAGAAGTGGGGGGCTGAAAACCATCATAGACTGTTTGCTCTTTATTCAAAAATAACATTTTTTTAGTGAGGATAAACGTCTTAGACATCTTAAATATTCATTTTATCACTACAATGTAAAATCTGAGGAAAGGGCACTTCCAGAAAATAAACCTCTATTCACTCATATTCTTTCAATGCAAACACTCCCCGAGTAATTTCTGTTCTCAAGAGTGGAGAGGCGCAAGATTCACCTTGCAAACTACTATGTCTGCATTACACCCACAAGCTCAGCTGATGTGACAGTGAACACAGCTTTTTAATTAACAAGTTCCTTTCATTTCAAAAGGAGCTTGTCCTTCAAAGGGTCCTTCAAAAGGTGTCCTCTAAAGGACTCCTCCAAGAAAAACTACTGAAACAATTCTGCGCCACTGCTTGACATTTTTGTGAGCAGCATGAATGAGAAGCAAAATGGAATCCTCCTATCACACATATAAGTGGGTAGCAGAACAAGGGGAAAAAAAATATCATTATTTGGAATATATAGTAAGGGAAGAAAGGGATGCAGTCTTCACATAAATTCACTGCAAATATAACAACTCTTCTCCCACTGGAAGACATTACCCGCAGGTTTTACAAGGAGAACAGGGTTAGATCCATTTTCAGTGCATTGCAAAGTCCCAGAATTTTATTCACAAGCAGACCTGATCCTGGGAAATAACCATCTCTGATTAAACACCACAATCACACATTCTGAAAACACTTAATTTTTTAGCATGCTGGCAGCATAAGACACACAGATAAGAAGTGTGACAGATAAAAAGGGAGTTTCCTCTTGCAAGCACAGACCTGTGCTCCACCCCTCAGAAGTCACCTAGCCTTCAAAAGGTTTAAGACCCCCTGCATATTTGCATGTCTTGATGTTACTCTCAAGCCCAGCCAAGCCACTCTGCAGATCATGGTAAGCATGCCTGGAGGGAACAATCAATACTGTCAGCCCCTGGCATCTCCTGCTGCAGAAGGCTGTGCTGCAGCAGATGTGGCTCACTTCCAGAGCTGGGCAGAGGTCAGCCACTTCCAGCTTCTTTTGCAGGCTAGGCAGAATCAAGCCATAAGACAGTAAAACCAAGAGGCCTCAACCTGCACTGCCTTGTCCAGCAGAAGCTGGAGAGATGCAGTTGCAAGACTCCCAGCTCCAGGCATTTATTCCATTCGCTACCTCAGACACCTCATGATAGTCATCTGTAACTTTCAACAACTCAAGCCCCTGTGCCCCATACATGTATCTCCACTTCCTGTCAGACATAGCTTCATTCATAGGTCCACAACTAATGGAAAATAGAAAATACTATCTTTGATGTGCATTTCTATACAAAAGGTGTATAAGGTCATCTTTATTCCATGCAAGGGAAGTGGAGGCGAAAGAGGGCTTGTTTCTTCTTGTTCCTATTTACAAAGGCAAACTAAGAAATTCAGTTCCCATTGCCACAAGCCAAAGCAGATCCACACAAAATAGTGTGTGGGACAGGACTCTCCCCCAGTTTACTGTTGGTATAAAGACTGCTGTGACTGTTCATCATGAGTTCAAAAGAGAAGCTGTCCCTTGCTTTAAGCACACCTCTCCCACCTGCCCCAGCCAGCAGAAACACCATTGCAGGCACAGCCAGCATTGCTTTGTCAGCAGAGAAACAGTTTCTCAAGGATGGTCACGGGCTCCTCAGACAGCAGCACTGCAGAACCTTTTTCCAGAGTAAATGAAACCTGCAGGATAACTGGGAATTGGTGTCACATCTTAGCGACAGTCCCTCAATTTAAGGGGTAGCAGTAGGACACCTGAGATCAAACTCAAAGACCATTTTACTTCTATTTCCAAATCTCAGGCTGCCCCTCTTCTACAGGCCTAGTTAAAGGCAGGATTGCCTACGTGCTAGAGGTCTGCACTCCAGCATTCAGGATTCATGAGATTCATCTCCAGCTCTGAGACGCCAATTCTGGGGTCTCTGCACTACAGTCATGCAGCTAGTTAGGTGATTTGCAGGATGAAGTATCCTCATCAGACTGGGCACAACATTCTCAGGCTTACCTTCCTTTTCCTAAGCATCTCATTTATTCCAAAGCCTAAATTTACAAGTCCTCAGAAGATGAACAGTGGTTGTGCACAGAGAGGACTTAAGCATTCTTGCTAATCCCAACCTCTTTTAGTAATTGTCTATAAACCACTGGTAGGAAAAGCAAGAGAGGCCAGATTCAAGATCAACTCCTAATCCAGCACCTTGGACACCCAGCATCCAACATCTACCACTGCATTTCTGAGAGTGAGAGGAACACAGAAGATGAACTGACAGAAAAAAGGAGCAGTGGAATCAGGTCAGGTTTGCACACAATACTCATGGAGAACTGTGGGTATTTTGTACACAACTCATATCTCCATCATGCCATAATGGCGTACATTACAGAAGCCCCAAGCCTTACAGAGGGTAGCCTGCAGTTCGACAAAAACATCTTATTGCTCTCATTACCCACAGATGAATATTTATTATATTATGGAAACAGAAATACATGTATCTTTATCACACGCCAAAAGCAAGAAGTTAATGGAAGTTAATGAATCAGAAGGCAAACATTCAAAAGAAAGTCTGTAAGGCAGGCTTCAGGGATTCTCAAAATACACAAACTGCTCATTCACCCTGGGAAGGAGAGGCATTAGCTCTCTGTGGTTCTGCACACACAGGTTCTGCCCACTGGAATACAATAAAGAAAATACAATTTGAGTGTGGGGAACACAAGGTTAGAATGACCTTCTTGTAGATCAAGAAAGCATGAGGGGTGAAAGCACAAGTCAACAAGAGATTTCCATGATGGGAAACAAAATTTGTAAACCCTCTAAATGGCTAAAATCAGGTTTGTTCTCCACAACTGTACTCAAGGCAGATCTCTTTGATGTAAATGACAAAATTCCCAGCAATAACTGAACAAGAGTAGGCATAAGGATGCAGTGCGATTGCAAAGACAAAGCAAAGACATTTGTGACTCATGGCCCTCTCTCCCCTTTTACAAAAAGGCAACATAATGCCAAACAACACAGCCTGCCCTGAGACCATCTGCGCTCGCCTCTGTTTCGATGCATTTCCCAGACACTGAGACCTGTCTCCCCACCCATACTGCTGAGCTTTAGCTTTCCACAGCCAGCAAATACTATTCAGCATCATTACTGTGTTATTACACATGATCTTCAGCTCTGTTAGCTCATTCACAGCAATCAACAACAAAGCAGCTTCCATTATCTTCTCAGCCCACCAGCCTAGAGACAGTTTGAAGTGCATATAAAAAGCAGATTTACCTGGCTTGGTTCCTTCACAGTCATGCCCCAGCTGGCCTTTTGTGTTCAAGCCACAAGTATACACTTCCCCATCTTCCAGCAGGAACACAGAGTGGTTTCCTCCACATGCCACCTCCTTGACATTTCTGTCATGAATGAAGCCATACACCTGTGGTTCAGGAATGATGACCTGGAGGTTGCTACCTATCCCAGGTTGTCCAAAAGACGAGTAACCCCAGCATAGCATTTTCTCTCTTTTCAAGAAGTCATGTATCCTTCCTGGGAAAGAGAAACAGGGAAGGAGTGTGAGCGAAGCAAGTACTCAACAAGTGATTCTACAGAGATAAGCTGCTCAGAGCAGGAGGTGGAAACAATCCAAAAAGGCATTTCCTGCATGACTGACAGGCTTCTGGACTGAGAGTAAAACGGATTTCCACCATTACACAGACAAAGAAAGAGGAATCAAGATAGCTCAGGTACTAAGTCAGCACCTTGACCTGGCCATCTCCACCTGGCAGTAGTAGTGTTCTGAAACACAGCAGACCTGAGCTTTTATTTCAGCCAAACCCAGTGCAATGCTTTTTAGACTCACAGGTCCAAACCTGAACTGTTGGAGTTAAGAGAGTTATATCTGGGACCACTCCTTAAAGAAATCTTTAAAAATTATCTCAAAAATGGTCAAACTAGTCCTGAACAGACCAACATGGGTATTTGTGGTATACTGGCCAATGCAGAACTGTTATTTCTGATAAACCCAGATTAAGAAGTATTTTGCTCAACTGGACATATTCTTGCAACCTAAATGTGTGCATGTACACATCCTCCCCCCAAGCTGCAGCAAGAATTCCCCAAGAAGAAGCAGTTCACACGGAGCAGCACACTGACAGCTTGGCCCCAACAGCTATGGACAGACAACATTAATGCAACTTGCCAGCAGCCAGGTGCTGTATTTTATGCTGTGCTCAGTAGGAGTCAGAGATATCAGAGACATGAGTAGCATGGGAAGGAAAGAGCCATAGCAATATGAAAGGCTCAATGAATTACTCAGCCCGAACTTGATAATGACAACAGGATGATAATACATAAAAGGTGGGGGGAGGGAAAGAGCTCTCATTCCAGAAGAAGCATGTGAAAGATTTTGGTAACACTCCCTCATCACTCCTAATCTCAATAGGCTTGGGTTATTTGTTAAACATGCTATACTAATACGACACTGAGAACTCTTCTGTTTGAGCCAGAAATCAATTAAAGTTTTTTTGTAAAGGAAAGAAGAAAGAAGAAAATGAAGGATCCGAGACATCAAGTCTTATGGCTCACCATGCCAAGTTTTAAACTAAGGCCATTTACAGCAGCAGCATTTACTGTTTTAGCACAGGAACAAAAAGCAAAAGGTAACCCCTGAAATGCTGAAGATTCCTCAAGGAAACAAGATTTCTTCTCCCACTCTGAGCAGATAAGAAACACGTGTGTTCAGGTCATTTCCAAAGCCTGGTGCTAATTCAAGCTCTAGGTATTAGCATTAAAGCCTTTCCTAATCTAAGCAACAAGCATTCATCTCTTACCCTGCTACCCCGGCCTGTCAGTCAGGTGCGAGGCAGGACTGAGCTGGATGGGGGAGGAAGAGGACTGGATTTTCCAGTTATACTGCATTGGTGGTGCAGTTTCCTACCACAAGCCATTCTTATTAGGTTCTTTAAAGCATGCTATGAATCCCATTTATCTCTAACTGCTTTTGCTCCTTTATAGCATAATTCAATTCATTCACATCCACAGATGTGCTTATCACCAGCCAGCTTCAAAGCACCCAGAGGAAAAAGCAGGAGGTTACAAGGCTCTGTCTAGTTAAATCAGTCATTGTGTACACTCTGTACTTGGTTGCCCTCAGCACAAAAGTCTGATGAAAGATACCCCTCTACACTGGCTACATCATTTCCTACACCAAGAATAGGAATGCCATCGGACACAGTAAAATTGCGAGCATGTGCTTTAAATGACACAACTGCTATATTTATAGTGAACTTCATGTTCTGTCTTAAAAAAAAAATAAATAAAAGCTTAAGCAACACCCTGAAGGTGGCAACACAAAGGCCATTTCAGAACTGGCATCTGAAACAGCAGAAATCTGGGACTATCATTTTTCTCAGCCTGGGGAATTACTCTGTCATGAAGACACAAGCAGCACAATAGCAGCAAACTTGAAGATCAAAGATCACATTCCCTGCTACTACAACTGGATGTTGCCTCTGAGCTGAAAAGATTTCACCACTATGCAACCTGAACTACAGTGACATTGTACAATATGAGCTAAATATTCACTTGGGATACCTTTCTAAAAGGGCTCCTGAACAATCTGCTCCCTATAGACTGCAGTCATTTTTCCTAGTGCTAATTTCATTTAAAATGCTAAAAATACTTTAATTACTTTCCTCGTGTTCATATTCTACAAAAAGTTGATGTAATGGGCAGAGGGATGTGATGTGATCGGTAAGAGATGGGTTTTCCTCCAGCTAAGACACTCCTTAAAACAGGAAGAGTTCAAACTCCCAGTAATTCATATGCACACCAGGGTGATATTCCAGAGGAATTCAACCCCCATTCATGCTAATGGCCAGGCTTACTGAAGCACCCCGAACTTTTAACAATCCCTACGACAGACAATGATGTGTGCCAGACCCTTTAGAAGATTTGGTCTTAGCTACCGTTTTTTTCACGAGTTTTTTTCAAATTATCTCCACTGAATCCCACCCCACATCCTCTAAATGTTTTGCTGGTAAATCCCTGTACAGCTCTATTCCAAGGGGACAGAGCAGCACTTACCACTCAAGAACAAAAACCAGCATAGCCACTTCCCATTTCAGTGTATGGGCACAGCTAAATATTTGCCAGTGGGCTGGTGAGCCACATTTTTAATTTACTTATTTTGAAGACATAGCGTATTTTTAAAATCACAGCTGTTCTAATATTTTTTTTCCTTCCCCCAGAAAAGCTGCTGCAAGTCTTAATATATGTGTTCAAATAGGAGCTGTGTCCTGAAACACGACAAGGCTTCAAATGACGACTTCACACCCTGTTTCCAATCTGGCAAGGCAATCTTTGTCATTAGCAGAGGATGTAAAACTTCATGTTACACTGAAAACTACCCCTATGAGCGGCATACCCTCCTTATACTAAAACAACTATATAAAAAGGTTTCTAGCGTGGGCAGGCACTAACACAGACATGTACCTGCACACTTATATACAAAATATAGGTAAGGTGTATTACCTGAATATTTTAAAAGGGGCTAATTATTCCTAATGCTCAGCTCAATACACCTTAAAAAGTTGGATTTTTATCTTCAGAGGACAAACCCTTAAGGAAGGCAGGGCGTTCTTAATGCATCGGTGCATTCAAGTTCTCAGGGCCTTTTAAAAACTGGATTGCAAAAAGCACAAGAGCTGCAGTACTCAACCACATCACCTATTCTGTGTTCTTCACAGATCACAACACAGCCAGCTTGGTACTCAGGTTTTAGAGATAAAAACAGATGCAATGCAGCAAAGCTGGTCATTTGTAGAGACTCCACATATATAGCAAAACAAAAAAAGGGGCGAGGGGGGGAATATAACCCAACATCCTGAAACCCTGACATTCCAGGAATAATTCACCATCAAATCAGCGAAGCGTGTCCACAGCACACCTAGAGATAGCAAAATCTCACACTGTGGGGAATATTTTGAGGAAATCCATTGTGGGTGGGAGATCTGCTATAATAAGGCTCAGCTAACATACTAAGAATATATCCTTTGGTGAGAAAATAACCCTGGTGGTTTGGGTAAAATAAAACATGTAAGATCGTGACAGAATGTGTTTTATTTCACCTTCTTTTTTTTCTTTTCTTTCTTTTTAACAGCTATCACGACATACACGGTCTCTTCACAGGATTATACAAACATATTCTAAAGCCATTGCTGTGAACCCAGCAGCACCCTTTCTCGGAAAGTTAGTTAAGTAAATGTCGTGCTTTCAATAAGCAACATTCAAGACAGAATGCTCTCTAAACAAAGGGATTGCCAACTGGCAGGTCATGAATAAACAAGATCTTCCTTCTCTGCTGTTTGTGAGGTTTCAGCTAGCTAATGTGCTCCTTCTATCAGCACTGCCCAATACTGAAGGAATTTACTGCTTCTTTCTCCCACTAAGCCTCCAAGCCCACTTTCGGCTTCCTTTAGCCTTCGTTTTACTCCAACTCAACGTCCAGTGTAGACCAGGCTATAGAGCAAGAGAAAGCAAAGTGTAACAGCGAATGAGTTCCAGAAGAAACAGAGCACTTACTTCCCTTCCATTGCATAATCCCAGACCCTCAGCTAGAGGTGTCCCAGGAGAAAACACTTAAAAACAGATGACTGAAACCAGACAAGACCCACACCATCTCCATCTTGCAGCACCAGCAAGAACACCTCCATGTCTCCACCCCACACACTCCCGTTCGTGCTGCTGCCGTCGCTGCCCACCCCCAAAACCGGCGATTCCAGCCGGGTCTGCGGAGCCCAGCGGCGGCCATGACAATCCCCCGGGGACATGGGCCGACAGCACCTGCTTCCGACCCCTCCAGCACCGGCACCCGGTGGCTCCTGCCGCGGGCCCACCGCTGTCCCCGGCACTGGCTCAGGGAGGCCCTGCCCGGGGATGCGCGTCCTGCGCCTGTAGGGTGGCAAGCTGGAGGGGGGGGGGCCGCGGAGCTCCACCGCGCCGCTCCGCGAACCGCTGCAACCTCATCTCCCCACCACACCGCCTCGGTACCAGGGCCGGCAGCAGCCCTATGGGCGGCCACGCCGGGGAGCTCGGCTTTCTCTCCCGCGGCACTCGCTGGGCCAGGCCTGATCAGCGCAGCGGACCTGGCGTGTGGCGCACCCCGGCTGGGCTGTGACAGCGCCGAGCAGGGTGTGCAGGACAAGCAGCTGCCATCGCTCCCGGACCCCAACCCCGCGCACCCCGGCCTCGCTCCTCATCGCTCACCTGCCGCCAGCCCTGCTGCTGCCGCCGCGGCAACGAGAAAGTCCAGCCCCACGGCACCGCCGCCGCCGCCGGCCGGAGTGACGGCGCAGAGCTGCCAATGGGAAGCGCGGGGCGGCCCCCGAGGGCGAATCGGCGGCGGGTGCTGCGCCTCGCCCAGCCCCGCGCTGTCAGTCGGTGGGTCCCGGCCGCTGGTAGCTCCTGCCCCGCTCCGTCCCCCTTCACTGGGTCAGCGGGGCTCGGGTCTGGCCAGGCCCGGCTGCCGGTGCTAAGGGGCTGCCCAGCCTGCTGGCGCCGGGCAGTGACTGCGGCTTGCTTGCCGCGGAGGGGGGCGGCGCCTCCTCGGGGACGTTGCGTGGATGTTGTCCGGTTCCCAGGGGAGGTCTGCTCGGGATCTCCTCTCCCTGAGGCCAGGGCATTCCTGGGGGCCTGGCCGCCACTGCTGGAACGCCACGGGAGCCGAGGGGCAGCGCTGGCAGACGGCGAGCACCGCGGATAGCGGGCTCACACGGAAACCAAGGCCAAGGGTCGTGGCCGCAGGGATCTGGCAAAGCTTACAGGCCAAGCAGAGCAGGCCGAGAGTATAGACTGTAGGAACCAATGGGCGAAGTGCAAGTATCATAGAATTTAAGCTATTCTAAATGAAGGTGTCAAGGAAAAGCCAGTTTTGCACTGATTAATAATTACCCCATTGGTTTTATTAAGAAATATCACTAATACTAATAATAGTTTACCCTCTGCTCTTTTTCATCTTGCCTTCTACATGGCCTCTGGGCGCCTGGCTGCCTTGTTTGCATAGGAACTGGTACATCTTATACAAAGTTTCAACATTAGCAAAATATTTGTGGTTAACGTACAAATCTCTGTTGGGAGAAAGGGGGGGGGGGGGGTGAGGGAAGAAGCCAATGAGCAAGTAATTATATAGCTCCCAAGTACTCGTTTTCTGATTTTAGTGCCATCCATAGAAAAAGACACTGCAAGAGCGATGTGCAAGCGAAACGCCAGCCAGCACTGGAACCAACCCAGCCAGTATTTGAGCAAACCACACAGAGATGTTTGCAAGGGCTCAGGGGAAGAGAAGGGTCCCTCAAGTCCTGCACCCAGAGTACTCATCTCCCTTACACTGTGCCTCTGGCAGTTGGCAGGGTTTGTGTACTCAGCGTGCAATGTGTCACGTATCAAGTAATTCACCTACATTTGCATGGATTGTGCTTGTTTAGCATAAAAAGAACTACTCTGTAGTATAAAATTACAGTAATAATAGCTGTGGCGTAATAGCATTTACCTAACCAGTGTTACAAACAGCTTTGAGAACAACAAGTGTAGAGGAAAAAATACTTCCTTTGTTTGTTTTTTGGTTTTGTTTATTTCATCATCTGGAGACCTTTATAAAATAGTCAACAAACAGAGGCTGGTTTCCTCTGTTTGTTTCTAATTGAGTAATCAAGGATGGGAAGGTACACACAAAAAAAAAGCATGGAGGGGAAAGTAGATGAGGGAGCAAGGATTCTCTTGCTTAAACCAATTTTTAAACTGGTTACATTTCGGCTTCAAGGAGAACTTTCAAGGCTGCTCCTTCATAAATGGATAGATTTTTAAATGAAGACACCAAAATGAAGCTATTCTGTGTCCCTGCATGTTGCTGTGCACAGCTCCCTTTGGAGGCCTCTAGCACTGAGGAATTTCTTCATTTTGGAGGCCTCTATCACTGAAGATTTCTTTGTTTCATCACACCATGAGTCTTCCTCACCTAGAGCCAGTCAGGTGGCATCAGGCTGGAGTCCATATCTCCCCACTGCCTAAGGGTTGCCCTAGGCAGGCCCATGGTGAGGCTGGACTGTCTCCAGAAGGACGTGTATCTCACCATTTCCTTGGTGGGTTAGGTCATCCAGAGACCAGGTCTCAAAATATCCCAAGACACCAAAATCTGCAGGTCATCCTGATTTCCAAAGCACCTCTCTTCTCCCGTCAACCAGTTGAACAGCAGCCCAGTGTCAAGAACCACATGAGCAAGCATGTGGTGAGCTCTTCTGAATGTTGTGATAATACAAGTTACTACTCACCAGAGTTATCTCCACAAAGGAAGAGAGGGTGGCAGCTTCCACCTGCCCTGTGACTCTTCTTCTGGTAGGTGTTTTCCTCCAGAGTCCTTCACCAGGTGCCATTGGTAACCCTCTGCTCCCATGGGCCATAGCACAGACCTTCTAACAGGGCTGTGCAGAGGTAGCAATGCTTTATGCCTTGTTAGTCCTGCTTGCTGTCAGAGCTTTTCAACACGGTCACCCCAGCTCCATCCTGGTCACATCAGCTGCTCTGTCAGGCTCTTGCACTTCTCTACAGGTGATGATCAGATCAGACAAGGGGTCTAAAAAAACATTCCTGCAGCATGTTCAATATACTTTGAAATAAAAGCAGGGCCTATTTGAGGGCAAATTAAAAATAGCCTTGAAAGTTACACTGGGCTTTAATCTCCCGTATGATGTTGCATCATACCTGATGAGAAGGAAATTCCTCCACGCTCTAAATAAACCTATTATCACTTAATCTCTAGTGGATTGAAATACAAACAGAATACATCTTCTGTGAACTTGCACAGCACAGAAGATCACTCTGGATTTCTAAGCCCTCAGAGAGGCTTAGAAGAACATAAAAAAGGAAACCAGGAGCAGGCTGGTGAAGCTAAGCTGCCATTACAGAAAGCTGTGATGTTATGGCATCAGCCAAGTGTTGGATGGAGACCCAGCAGCTCAATGGGGACAACAAGCTGGGCCTCTGCCAGTTCCTTCTTCCCACAGAAATACTCCTGCAGCAGGTTGGTGCCTTTCCTAGAGGATGCAAACATCCCTGTGGTGTCTTGTCTACCACAGGCTGGCAAGGGGGACAAGGGGTAGCTCTGCATGGGCCACAACCCCTCACTTGCCTTGGCTGGCAGCTGGCATCTTTCAAAGCACTAGCTCTCTTCTCTGTCATCACCACCGCCATGCCACCTGCTTTCCCAGTGCTTGATGTGAGTGCTTCACTACACTGTAACCTAAAAGGAAGCTTTCTTTTTCTTAATATGTAACAATGCCCTTTTAATTGAGCTGGAAACACTATCCTAACAGTCACTTCCAAAAAAGGTTTATATCGTCTACTGGCATTTCAAAGAGGCAGCCTCCGTGGTCCAAGAGCATCTGCATGTGATACCCAACACAAAGTCACGACAGAAGAGGAGACAGAAAACATACACTGTCATGCATAAGCAGCTGATAACTAAAGAACACAACTACAGGTGTGGAAATTCAATCAATCATCATTTAATTCACACAGTAGAAGTCTTCATATATATATGTCCACCAAAATATTTAACACACCAAAGGCAAGAGAAGACTACTGAAAAATTATTGCCACCGTTCTCTGAATATATATTTACACAAATAAAAATACACAGCAAAATACACCTCCCCTCCTCCCTTTGCATCCTGCCTGACATTGTCAATCACAGAATCTTAGAATGGCTACGGTTGGAAAGGACCTTAAGACCATTTAGCTCCAACCCCCTGCCAGTGCTATGCATTGTTTTAACAAGGAGCTTCCAGCAGCCCTACAAGCCTTATGTCCACAGGGTTCTGTAGACAAAGCTGTTCTGCAAGCCTAAAATTTTAATTAACAAACATCTCCTTAGAAGATACAAAGAAGCATGACAAATATCACAGTGCTATCACACTAAATAACAAGTCCATTAATGCTTTACAAATACAGCTTTTGAAAAAGTCTAGGAATGATAAATCCTCATCCTAAGAACTTCTTCCAAACAAGCCAAAGGCCATATCCAGGTGCTGCTCCTTCAATTCAGAGTTTACAGGAACACCTCTCCCAGCATTATTTGCTCCCCAAGAGAATCCTTCACTAATACAGATTAAAACTTTAGCCTAGCTTCCTCTTGCAATGACAACTGTTTAGCAGGTACTGGCTGTATGTTTGGTAGTGTATAAACGACAGAATCCCTGCTGCTCTAAATTTACCAATGAAAGAAAACCTGCACAGTGCAAACAGGATGCATGTATATGTAAATATACGTGGTTATCAGCTTGGTTCCTGGAAGCATGTTAACTAGGATCCTTCTTTCCTAACTCTATAATCTAATAATCAAGTATCTGGTCTAAGCTCATTTTTGTAATCAATACAAAATCACAGTGAACACATGCACTCAAGTGCAGTAAAAATAAGACAGGGTAGAAACCACTAAATTGGGATTATTAAGAGAAAAATATGACAAGTGATACTGTCCTGGGTTCAGCAGTAGCAGTCATTTTTTTCTCCTTCTTAGTAGCTGGTGCAGTGCTGTGTTTTTGACTTTCGGCCTGGGAACAGCCCGGATAACACCATTGATTTTAGTGACAGAAGGGGGGGAGTGAGCAAGCGGGCTGCATGGGTCTGAGTTACTGACTGCACTTAAACCACGACAGTAACAAAGATTTGTTTTCTTATTTTTGCTTTAAAGCACTCCTGACCAACAGTTAGGACACACCAAAACTTTCATTATGTTCTATGGCACAGAGCAACTTCTTCTTGAGTATTCTTTTATTGCTGTATCTGGGGAGGAACAAAATGTGCTGGCAGGTATTGGCACCAAGATGGAGCTCATCTGGATTTTCTACTTGAGGATCTACAATACAAAAGTTAAAATGTTCCAGTCCATATGCAGGGATTCGATCAGATCCTGACAAAAATACTGAAGGGGAAAAACAAAAACAAGTTAGCAAATTAAAAACAGAACAGAACAACCCCCAGCAAGATAATGTTATCATAGGATGAAAATCATAAGGCAAAATTAGTGTTTAAATATGGCTATTTCCATAAGCTAATTATCTGCTTTGCTGAATTTGTACCTCTTGCTAACAATAATTACAAACCCTCTTCTACTTACATAGATTTTGTGCATGAGAAAAGCCATGCTAGGCTTGACCTTCTACATTTAAAAAGGATGACCTAGCTTCTGCAATCCTTTGAGAAAGCTAAACTGGTTACGTCAACACAGGCTGCTCACACAAGCTGAGGCCTCTGACCAACAGCTGATAACCATGAAAGTGAGGGATAAAGGAATTGCAAGGTTCAAAGTGGTCAGACGCACTCAGGCAAGCCTCAGGGGTTGTGAGGAGGGTCAGAGCTGCACCTGTGCAATTCTTTTTGTCACTTCTTTTTTGTGGCTTTCGCTAGGAAATGTGGCAGGGGGTGGGGAAAATGTCAAAAAGCCATAGTCTTCATGGTTGAGCATCTAAAATGTGTATCGTGGGGGGGAGAAAAAGGCTAGGAAAAAAAGTTTAAAATGCCTGATGTATTACCAAGAAACATTTTCTTTTTTTCTTCTGGGAGTTTGTGAAACACATTCCAAAAATTCCTGATGGTTTTATCTAAACTTTTATACCATCCGTACATCACGCTCTGTCAAAGAGATAAAAATAAAACAAGTCCATTAATCCTGACTATTTCATTTTTATTTAAAGCAACAACAGTTTAACCAATAAATTTTATAACTGTTTGCACATGAACTCAAGTCCTCTTAAGCTCTGGAATCTCCTTGTTCATTTGTTTTCCAAAGATTCATATGACAATCCTTGAGCTTCAGCTTGATTTTTAGTCTCCTTTATTCTTGTACCTGATTTAGATTAAAACCAGACTCAAAATGACGACAAAAATCAAATACAGAGAAAGTCCCTTGCGCTTCTGTTTTTGTGTTCATGGCCTATGCGCTCAATGAAAGAGCAGGTCAGAAGGAGTTTATGCCCAGCAGATATAGCACAAGTATACCGTGCTTGTATCCAGTACCTTTTCCAGCAGATGCCAGTCACATTTTGTATGTCCCTGAAGAACAGTCTGGAGCTCCGCAGGGAGAAACATCTTCCACTTTCTACCTGGGCAGCCTCTTAAAAACCCTCGCATGAAGTCCTCAAATGGTTGATTCATTTAACACATAATTCACATACAAGTCAACAAATTCTTTCCTGCAAAGATATTTTGAATCAAACAAGCAATGCAATAGGTGAGGCTTTAAAAGGAGAGTTACAGAGAACTTTATTCCTCATTCCTTTATTCTGTATGGCCTGCTCTACTGAAAAGACAGTCTTTACTGACAGCACTCATCACTGCCAATTATTTATTCACTGAATAAGCTGGGAGGATCATCACAAATAAACGAGATTGCTGGCCACCATGGATTTATTTTGATCATACTCTTTGTACTTCATGTGAACACTCCAGTGAAATCCTATCAGACACTTCACTATTGTGATGCAATCTAGCAGATCTAATTGGTGTAAATTCAGCAAAACTCCCAGTAAATGGCCAAGAATTACCCTGAAATCAAAATAGACATTTGCACATATGCTAATCAGTACAGTTTCACTCTTCTCTCTGTGATGGGGATTTGTTTAGTGACTCTGCACATGTAAAATCAACTCAGTGTAAACACTGTACTTCAAGCTTCATAACAGACCTTTCATGCATCCCTCAGACAGGTCCTCAGATCATGTGCACAGCCCAGGCCACAGAATTTTTCTCTGTCCCCTGTGCTGAGGCTCACACTGAGACAATACCTTATTGATAAATTGCTCCTTTTCTGTTATACAAGACACTTTCCATATACATAACTAAGCAAGAAACATTTTGCTCATTAAAAAAAAAAAAAAACCTTACAGAGGTGTATTTAGCTGGATTTCCCAGACAAGCTATCTGTATTTCCCTGAAAAAAATGCAGTTCAGTAGTATTTTATATATTTGATAGGAATTTCCCTGATAAGGACAGGCACCTTTATCAATACAGATGCCAGGATGTCCAAGGATCCCCTTCTTATCCAGTCTGCTTGCACAAACTGCCAATGTCTGGCACATATGCAGTCTGTATAGTAAGAACCAAAAGCATACAACCTACTGGACCAAGATCAATGGCACAATGCTAACATTCAGTATTTTCTAAGAGTACATGGGGGTGGGTATAAATATGCTATTTTACACACTCATAACAAGACAACAGGATAAAGAAAAGAAAAATAAAACCAACCTGTTATCCCTAGTGACAGGGATGTTGGCACCATTTTTTTTAAGTTCAACAACAGCCATGGAACCTCCTTCTTCCATTATCTACACAAATAAATGAAAACATTAGATGCTATATCTATATATGACAGACACATATGTGCTATATCTATCATTCTTTCTTTCTGCAGGGCCTGACAGAGCACCCTTGCTAGTTGAAGTTTACAGACAAGCTGTGTCATTTGCAGAGGATGCTGTCATGCCCAAGTACATGCATGGTATGTCTGAATGGCACAATAATGTCTTACTGTGAAGTTCATGTCCAGGCTTTCAAGGACATGATCACATTCTTCATGCAAAATTCCTTGAAGACTCCTTTCAAAAAACAAAGGGGAAAAAAGAGAAGAAACGTGACCGTTCAATGCACTTTAAAATTCCATTTGAAACCATCCTTTGACAAGTAGTATTTAAATGTAGACACAAACAGAACACCTATACTCACATAGAACTTTCATATATGGCCCTAAACTGATCTATACTCATGTCCCGCTACTGCCGGGAGGCTAAGGGCAAATGCCTTCACTGCAAAGGATGCCAGGCAAGTCTGTCCTCATGCCCTGTGAAGATAACTTTACACAAAGTTCAGTGGGAAGCGGGCTTGGAGCACAGCCTTGCTATTCCAGATATCACCTACTGAGGAACTGAGTACCAGCAGGATGATCTGGGAGAACTGTTCTGGGCTGCATCACCTTTCAAAGTACTACAGGCCACTCAATGTTTCAGTTCACTGATGTCATTGTTTCACCTCAACACAGTCACTGGCTCATGGGATGGGGTCCTCATCTTGTCAGCTGCTGACAGCACTTCTTTGGGAAGCTAGACTTCAAGGGGTAGAAGCTTTATGCTTATGGCAGCAGCACCTCTCCCTCCTGTATCTGGCTGAGATCTCCTTTTTCAGCACATGGCAACCCTGCATGCAGGTCCTCAGATTTGGCACAACTGCAGCATACAGTAATACTGTTCTTGTGCAGAGCGACATTGTGGGAAATTATAACTAGCACACCAGAGAAAAATCCAACATTAGCAATGGGGTGCTTAGTTCTTCCAAGTTGAAACTACAGCTCGAAGTGGTTTGAACGATATATTCACATGGAGTAGAAATCAGACCCCCCCCTAAGCATGGCTTTTTATTTTGGCAACGACAGCCTCTGTCTGAGAGCAACATCCATGACCAGCACAAGGTCCACCTTGGAAACCTGTGGCTACGTCAAATGTAGCTGCCACGGGCATCCTGACTATGGCCCTGGGCATCTCCGTGCACACATCCAACCCAGGAGACCCGCCTGGGCTGCAGCTCCCAGCAAGCGCTGGGACCGTTCCGGCCCGTACCGGACCACATCTGGCAGCAGCTCCTCCAGGTCCTCCAGGGTGGGCGTCAGGCCCAGCAGCTTTTTGTAGAGAGCCCGGGGGAAGGCGAAGGGCGCTATGCACCCGTTATGCAGGGCCATCCCGCACAGCGTCCCGATCCGGAAGAACACATCCTCACAGCCCGACGCCTGCTTAAACACGAGCACACAACGAAAGCCGTGACTGTCCCCTCCCGGGAGCAGGCTCCCCGCACCCCCCAGGCCGGCCCCTCACCTGGCTGGGGAATCACATGAGCACAGAGGCGACGCGGCGGAAAGCCACAGGGACGGGCTGGCAGAGAGTCCTGACGGCCACGCCGAAGAGCTCCTGGGACGGCCCGCCTTCGTCCACACCCTCCTCGTCGAGGAACGACACCTGCGAGCACCGAGACACCCATGGCGCTGGGGACAGCTGCACGCCGGTACGCGGAACCCCTGTGCGCGCACCCAGCGCAGCCGGGCCGGCTGCCGGCGCACCGGAAGCGGCGCGGCGCGGGGAGCGGCCATGCTGCGCTGCGGAGGGCGCGGCGCCGCTGTGGTGCTGCGGTGGATGGCAGCGGGTGGCCGCGCTGCGAGCGGCGGGCACGGGCAGCAACAGGATCCGGGGAAGGGCCAGGGCTCAGGGCGGCCTCAGCCGCAGCCGCTGGAGCCGTCGCTGTTGAGCTTCCTGGTGTGCCCGCTCTCCAAGCGGCCGCTGAGGTGAGGGGAAGGGAAAAGGAATGGGAAAGGGAAAAGGAATGGGAAAGGGAAAAGGAAAGAAAATGGGAAAGGGAAAAGGAAAGAAAATGGGAAAGGGAAAAGGGAAGAGAAAGCCCCGTCGCGCTCTCGGTGCCCGCCCCTGGCCTACTGCTGCCCCAAGTCGAGTGAGAGGGGCTGCCGAAGGGTAAACGCAGGTTACTCACTCCAGTTGTTCTCTTGTTTCCCCCTGACTTGCCCGGCCAGGTACGAAGAAGCTACCAACGAGCTCATTAACGAGGAACTAGGCATTGCGTACCCCATCATCGATGGCATCCCCAACATGATCCCAGAGGCTGCCAGGATGATTCAGAAGAAGCCCCCAGCTGAGGGCTTGAAGCAGGCCTGAGGACCCTCCAGCCACCGACCGCAGTGAAGTAGTGCTGATGGCCGGAGGAGGCATGCTCCCCTCCCTACCCACGCTGACCGTGCTTGTGCCCCTGCTGTCCCTAGCAGGCTTGTTTTACTCAGCCAGCGTAGATGAGACCTTCCCACAGGGCTGCACCAGCACAAACAGCCTATGTTTCTACAGTCTTCTCCTTCCTATTACGATACCAGTTTATGTGTTCTTCCACCTGTGGACCTGGATGGGGATTAAGCTTTTTAGGCACAACTAGTGCAATGCATTTGCTAACTCCTGGGCTTCTGTAAAGTGACATTGTTTAGTTAATCTCATCTGGTATTGCAGTTGGTTTGAGAGAGTCTCCTTTTGGGACTAGTGACTGTCATGATTTTCCTAGTACTCTCTGGAACTATTAAGACCTCTGCAGCAGCCTAGTATTTAATTACTGCTAAGGCAGATAAAGAGTAACAAGAAGCACTAATTACTTCTAGTGTGTCCCGTGAAGTGTTGTGCATTTGTGGTGGCACTGATGAAAATCTTCTATGTAGTGATGTTTTTTGCAAGGAAGAAGTGTATCCTGACTGAAATAACTTAAATAATAAACAGTGATAACCAGCAGAAGTATGAATATTCTCTCTCTAAATTAAAAGCGTTGGTTTGGTTTTGAACTGATGCATGTATTGAAATGCATATCTCATTCTCAGAAGAGCATAAAATAAATTGCGCTGATGTTTAATAACAAGACTATCAAGATTAACAAGTATCTCTTGGTAGGATACTAATAATGCAGTCAAATTGGTAAGGCCACTTCTGGCCAAATAATGCTGTGATGCACAGCATGAAAGGCAGTGCCCACAAGAGGTCTATTCAAAGGCTGACTCCAGCTAAGTGCAGCACTTTGTTGGGGCACCTTGTGCTATTGGTGGAGAGAAACTGGGTCTAGAGGGCAGCACAGGCCACAAGCCTTATTGCCTCTGTAAATAAATGCCTCCTACAGCTGATACAATGATGAAGGGGGAAGGAAAAGTAGCTGTAGGAGCCATTGTGAATCTTAAGTGTACAGGAAGGAAAAGCTATGATAGTTCTGGTTGGCAAGAAGGCTCACCTGGAAAGAACCAGAAGTGGGTAACAGGGCAGTGAGGTTAGCAGTTTCTGCTGCAGAGGTGTGCCAGACTGATTGCCCTTGTGCTAGTGACTGACATACGGCCTCTGGGCTGAGCTTTCCCCTGGGGCAGGTGCTCTCTTCCCACCCCAGGGCTAGCATTGCAATGCCTGCAGAAAATACAGCTGCCAGAACCTTTGGGTTTGCATGGAAATCACAAACTAAAGCTACACGGAGAACAGCAGCTTTTCATCTCTCTGGCTGGCACTCTCCTTCCTTTCTCTTCAGATAGCATCTCCATGAGAGAAATGGTTTCTGTGGTTGTCTCGTTTGCTGGCTTCTAAGGTTGACTCCCCAGCCACCAGGCTTTTCACATACAGCAATCTGGCCTTTAAAGTAATAGTAACAGTCTTTACCAGTTGCCAGTTTCATGAGCAATCCTATTACCTCAAAGCAACCTCATGGTAAATAGCACTGCCACTTGCATTTAACCTACACCAACAACACTTGATGGCTACCTGGAATAAGTATGTATGATACTGTCCTCCAGCCTTACTCTATGTCCCCCGTGGAACATGTTTCTATAATAATGTGATGAGTAGTTTTGTTGTATGCTCAGCAAATACTGAAATCCTTCTACCAATACTTCAGTAACACTGAAAACCAAAGAACACTGCAGCAATATATTTAGAGCTAACAAATCATACAATTTGGTCTCTTACCCCTAAGATCTTCCTGAATTGCTGGGTTGGTGCATTATTTAAATGGGTCCATATGTCTTGCAGAAGGCATTGTCTTCTGACTGGAAAAACCCACTTTTCATTGCCGTTTTCTATTATGTGTTTCTGAAGATTGAAGTAACAGTCTGTTAGCAGTGTGTCAATGTGTGTATTTCTTCTAAATTATAAAAAAAAATGCCAATACTTACCTCTCTAAAGATGCTGGACAGAGCGTTGCGTTCTGTAAAATGAATATCAATCTTGTCTTGCATGTCAAAAACGCACGGATATTCAGTCAGCTTCCATAGGGCCATCTAAAATGAAAAGGAAGAAAGGATATGTTGATATTCTCTTGCAAAATCAGAGTTTGGGGTACATGTGCAGACTGAACTGCCAGCCTGTAATCTGGCTAACTCCTGTATCTGAAACATGCCCTTGTTGTGTACGCAAAAACTACACCAACAGAGGCGCGCTTTCTGAAAGCAGCTTCTAAGTGCTTCTGTGAGTGGTAAACCCTGACAGGGGAACAACAAACTGTCTGTGCAGGCAGACGTTTGTGTTACAGTGTCCCAAGAATGAAACAGAGTGATTCAAATAGCATCTTCCATAATTCAGCTAAACCAAAATAGGCAGGAAAAAGTGTCCTGGCTACGCATGTTATGGTGCATTGTTAAAAACAGTTGGGTTTATTATCTGTAATACCAAAGGTAGAAACTGGTATATACAAAATAATCTAATTCAAAGTGTTACACCTCCAGTGTGATAAGGCAGTGACTTCAAGTAATGTCCTGGGGCTTTTCATTTTATACTGTTTCTCAAAACTCCTCCTCTCCTCTGGTTAATTGGTATAAAGCTGGTAATTAGCATATGAAAGCTTATGAAAGAATGAGGCACTGTGCCCTGCAAATTTCAGCCAAGTTGCCAGAAAAGTGCATTTTTTGCCTACGGAAGTCCCTTCTATCCATGTTTCCATTTCTTGCTGCTTCCTGTGATATAGCAACTAATTTAAATAAAACAGGAAATAGTGGTTTGTGCTGCTGCAAGATTTTATACTTACTTTTTTTCGTATTAAAGGACCAATACACTGTGATAATGGGTTTCACCTGAGGCACATAGAAGTTGTTTTCTTGTACTCTGAAGCCAGTTCTGGAGTTCACCTGCATTGACACACACAATAGGAAAAGGGGCGTCAGCAGATTGAGTGATGTGTCTGTGTGGCAGGACAGGGCTGAGGAGTTACAGGGCTTTTTCTGCAAACAGAGCTCTCAGACCCTGCACAGAAGTGGAAGGACAGAAGTGCTACAAGAAGCATAGTGCTCAACAGTGAGTCGTCTCAGAAAGCCATGTATAAACTAGCAGAAAAGCAATTTTCATTTACAATTAAGATCCTTTAACAGGGCTTTATCAGAAAGGTATGTTTCACTCTGTGCATCTTTCATGTTGCAGGACAATCTGAAGTACCCTGTTCATGTTCAGACTTGTTGCCTGGCAAAGACACAATTTGGTGGTGGACGGTGAACATGTAAAGTTCCAAATGATGCAACCATTTACAGAGAAGTAGGCCTGCAGCACTTTGGTGGTTATCATCTGTATAAATACAGATTCAAGAGTCTAAATTTTGAGGCCCAAATCTGCATTCCCAGCCAAAAGGATATTCAATTCTGAACAAAATTTAATGACTCTCTCTGATTCACACTAATCACCATGTGCCAGTATTTAAAGCATGGCTACAAAGAAGATGGAGAATCCCTTTTTACAGGGAGTCTTATGGAGAAGACAAGGGGTAATGGGCACAAGTTACTGCTGGGGAGATTACAATTGGACACGAGGAAAATTTTCACAATGAGAACAATCAACCACTGGAATAATCTCCCCAGTGAAGTGGTGGATTCCCCAACACTGGGCACTTTTAAGATTCAGCTGGACAGGATGCTGGGACAGCTGGTCCAACCTTTCTTGGAAAAGCATGACCTAGACTAGGTGATCCTTGAGGTCCCTTCCAACCTGGTACTCTATGATTCTATGAAGCGCATGCCTGAGCTCTTGACTTTCCTAAACTTTGAACACCTCAGCAGGAGAAAGGTTGTTTGTCAATAAGAATACAGTTGCTGCCCCCTTTCTTCCCATTGTTCAAATGCAGCTAAAAATTATCTAATCCTGCTGTCCCAGAAAATCTCTTAAGTAACAGGCTTTTAAAGCATCACACAGTGTTGATGTGGCAGCCACGATGTGCCAAGCAGGTGGGTTGCCGTTTAAATGCTGTGAGCAGTTACTGGGGTGAGGGATCTCAGCAGCAGAGAGGAGAATGGGCATGCTACGTAATGGACACCGCATCCATAGCTCTGTACACACCAATGCATGCACTTCTCACACCATAGAAAGCACACACACACCACTTGAGCATACTTCAAGCTCTTAATTTCTGCAGAGGGTCAGCCAGGCACAACTCAAGAGCACAATTCCTTCAAAGCTATGCTGCTGTAGAGCCAAAGAGATTCCAGAAGCAATGTCAAATGACAAGGCCCCATCTTCCCTTGTAAGAAGGAAACCCAGAAAAAGCAACAAATAAAAAGGATTAAAATATTCTGACTTGCTCTGATACCCATCTAATCAGGATCCAAAGACTTTCTTACCTGGTAAAGAATCTGCAGTATTTGCAGAGTCACTGTTTCATGTGGGTGCAGAGTGAAGGGGTCTCTTTGGACATGCATGAGTTCTATCATAAACCAACATAGGTTTTTCTGGGAAACCCTCTGATATAGAATGACCAGCTCCTTTAAGAACAATGTTTCTAGATTTGACCACAGGCATTCTGTAAAGAAAACAGCTAGTGAAGTATCTGTAACAGGTAAACACAAATAATTGCAATTTCTGGATGAAGCTGCATTTTCTCTGTTTATCAAATGACGTAAACCAAAAAAAAAATGCTGAATTTTGCACTACAAAAATTAGCAAACCTCAGACTGAGGGCTTTGGGTTTTTTTCATGTGTCTTGTTGCATGTTTCTGTTTCTACCAAGAGCACTTCTTTCAGACTGAACTCTGGAACAAATTAGCGATACTAACTCTTGCTGCTCATCCAGAAATGACCAGACATTCAAGTCGTTCAGTCCTATCATCATAAAATCCTACCAAGAGTTTGCAGGTCCTTTGACTGGAGCTTTGTGATGGCTTGTGCTAGAAGAT